AACTTCGACCGAGAGGTCAATCGACGGATACAACTCGGCTGGGCAGCGTCAGGGAAGCTAGACACATCTTCTCGTCAAACATACCTCAAAACCTTAAAACGAAATTGTACAACCAGTGCGTGTTGCCAGTGATGACTTACGGATCTGAGACGTGGTACTTCACTGCTAGCCGTATACGGAAGCTCAAGGTCGCTCAGCAAGCTATGGAGAGGTCTATGCTCGGAGTTTCTCTGCGTGATAAACTTAGGAATGAGGATATCCGCAGTAGAATCAGAGTAACCGACATAGCCCAACAGATTAGTAAGCTGAAGTGGCAATGGGCCGGCCATATAGCTCGAAGAACCGACAACCGATGGGGAAGAAAGGTTCTTGAGTGGCAGCCTCGTACCGGTAGGCGAAGTGTAGGGCGACCCCCCACGTGATGGAGTGACGACCTGGTAAGACATGCAGGAAGTCGATGGATTTATGTGGCTCAGGACCGTGCTTTGTGGCATTCCTTGAGGGAGGCCTATGTTCAGCAGTGGACTTATGAAAGGCTGTAATGATGATGATGATGATAATGATATTTTAAAAGGTAAACATGTAAAATATAAAAATATACATTTATATTATTCGTATTTCGGATTCGTAAGAATCACATTTTTCTGAAAATAAATATTTTCTCTTTGTATTTTCTTAAATTTCTCAGTAATTTTCTTTCTAGCTGCAGCTTGCGTAATTTATTTTTGAGTACAATTTTTGTCGGACTATCAAAAATTGAATTTAAACTGCTTACTGATTCAGACAACGGTTCTAATACTTGTTCACCACATTTTGATGGCTGAAAAAAAAGATACTAGTTATCTGGGAAGCCTGTAAAAATTCTAGCGTTACAGTATTAAAAACCCGCCATATACTAGTACGACTCGCGCACCGAGGGTACCGCTTCTCTTAAGTCCCGTAAATATACTGAATTTACACATTACAAAAATTCTTTCGTCATCTTATCACAAAATAAAACAAAAATCCCAGCAATATTATATAATATTATAATTACGTTATCGCATTTTACTGCAGATTTCTTTAAGTATACTCTTCCTATTTTAGTGAAGTATTAGTTGTTTTCTTTGAAATGTACGGAACATATGCGTGAATAATCTGACGATAACCACGTTTCTTTGCTGCGATTCTTCTCAACAAATTTGAGCCATGATTCTCTTTTTTTTTTTTGATTCAGGAAACCTTTAAATCCAAATAATAATAAAAACTATTAATTTTAATGCATTAACATTTCCTACCGTGATTATATATTAATATTTACTGTCCATAATTACTTAACATTATACGTCAATATAGTTAAATCTGCGCATAAAAATGTTTTACTCTTTGTACTCGTATACGTTGCAGTTGATAAAATATTATTAAATTAAGCGTGTTTTAAAGATAATAATATGTTGAACTTACTGGTGAAAAGTCACTCCCTAACTTTTACTTATATTTCTTGAGTTGTTTGAACAGTATCTCAATGCACACGAAGGCATATCAATTTAAAAATAATTCTTCACTCAAACTTCTCACGTTGCTGCAACCGCTTCACACAGACTAAGTGAGATTGAGAGCGCGCACTCTAACGCGTGTTACAAACAATCGAGTTGAGGTGTCTCCTCTAGTACGTAGTACATATAACTCAATGGATCCACATCAGAAATTAAACAGGTATATTAACGCAATAGTAAATATGTATTATAATACATTAGGTACTCTCGCCGTAACTGTAAGCGATGAGATTGTACCTCGGGTAATTATAAACTTTGGCTGGCAACATAGGTTTAAGGTTATAATAATGCTAATAATGATAATATCATCATAATTTATAGAAAAAAATGAATGTGAACATCGCTTTAATTAATACTTCCATGTAAATCATGATTCAGAAAGTCATTTAGAAACATATTCATGAAATAAGTGTACTTACGCGTGAAATGTAATGCCTTCAATTTTTCGTTCACTGCAGCTTTTGTAGTCCATAACACTGCACGAAACCAAGATAAGGTATAAAATCAAATAATTTTCTAACTAAAAACGTACAATTATCAAGTTTTATTTGCAAATAAATTTCTAAACAAAATAATAAACATTGAAATATTCCGTGTCAGTTGCAGTGTCTGCCACTAACGGCTTGTTAGGTCGTACGGGAATAAGAACAAAAATATAGTAGCTTCTTACAAAAGCTAATGTGATATATATGCGTCCTTTGTTTTGTTAATGAAATAAAACATATCACGCTGTATTCTCTGTCTACGCTTAGAATATACTGCTATAAACAGTAAGCACGGGTATGAACCATAGACTCAAAATATGCTGTTCACTGGCGTAGCATGAACAGTCTCGAAATTACTAGAGCGAGTCACAAAAGGACATGGAAATTGTTGTTTCTTTCGCCGGTAATGTTAAAATATTTAGTACCTAAGACTGCGATAAAGCAAACAAAACGAGAATTATAAGTTACCTCTTAAGTAATTTAATTAACGAGAGTGGGCGTCATCGTTACGATGTCAACAGCTGTTTTTGCAAACTCTGTAGGCATGAAAAGTGAAAAATAAAATAGGTAAATGTGCTATCAAGAGTTAAAAACATTCATAATTAGAAGACAGAAGATTGTGACAAACGAACACACAGTCCACCTGATGGTAAATGTTTGCTGTGGTCTATAGGCATTTACATATATCCTCGTTTTCATTCATTCATTCATTCATTCCAGTAAAAAAGGTCTCTGGTTCTTTACACTCACGAAACACAGTAGCGTTTCGCTGGTATTCTGTGAGAGCGTTGTACTTCCCCGATCGAGCCATCCCATTCGTGCTACAACTATACCAATAATATAGCTGCAGCATGGCTCTACCACGTAATACCGTTTAAGTATATACTGTATATACAAGTGAACTACTGAAACTTGAGAAATTATTAGAGTAAGAATCAAAATTTGTACAATCGACAAATAGAATAACAGTGCAAAAAACCAGTGGCAAACACAAAACATACCAAAAGCCTACAATAATAGGTTAAAAAATAAATAAGAAGAAGTACAAAATTAATCATAAAACAGTAAGAAAAGAAACTAACCTAACTTTTGAAACCAATTAGTCATCCAACAAAAGTATATCGCTTACAGTATATTTAAAAATCAACCCCATCTATGGTTGAGTAAGCCAAAACACCTACGTTAGTCACACTACTTTTAATGTCTCTCTTTCGTTTCATTGGGTTTATGAAGTGTAGATTACAAGGAGAACCATCTTATAAGGGGCGAAAGTTTTTTTTTTTTTTTTTTATACGATAAGGGTGACAAACGAGCACACAGTCCACCTGATGGTAAGTGGTTACTGCGGCCCATAGACATCCACATCTATCCTCTAATACAAATCAAAATGTAGATGCGTTGTCACCCGTGAGGACTAAGATGGAATGCCTCATTTCCAGTAAAAAGGGCCTCCGGCCACCTGCACTCACCAAGCGAAACGCAGAGGTAAACCTCTACTTCACGCTGGTTTTCTGTGAGGTCGTGGTACCACCCCGGTTCGAGCCGGCCCATCCGTGCGACAGCAAAAGCTGCCGCGTGGCTCTACCACTGTTGAAAGTTGAAAAAGTGTCCCACAATATACTGAATATAAAGGTTCCAAAATCTACCACAATAGCGCTGGCGTCTGAAAAACTGCGATATGAAGATAGTTGTTGTGAACGGAGTGAAGTCGGCTGAATTCAAATATTTAAAAAATTTCATGACTAGAGTAAAATGACTAGTTAGTAAAATGCCAGTATACAAAATCTCAACTATTTACGTAGTACAAAACCAAGCGGATTGGTCGGTCCTTGTTTATTTCTCCATCTTATTCTAATTACTTTTGGCGCTTTTATTTAATTTATCCTATGCTACTGCAGCATACCACCCTTAATAGACACGTTTTTAGGGACACTTTTCATATATTTTTGAGGCATTCCATCTTAGTCCTCACGGGTGACAACGCATCTACATTTTGATTTGTAACAGAGGATAGATGTAGATGTCTATGGGCCGCAGCAACCACTTACCATCAGGTGGACTGTGTGCTCGTTTGTCACCCTTATCCTATAAAAAAAATATATAGAGACAGTCCTCCTTCTCTCTACACTCCATAATTGAGTTTCAAATCACAACGATGCTAAAGAAGTTTTTACTTCAAAAACCAGTGTTCTACTTTGAGAGTTGCAAAAACATAAATAATCTTCCTTCAAGATGGCAGAAATGTATAGATAATAAAACAACAAATAAATATATTTTTCATAAAAAATAAAGGTTATACAAGTGGTGTAATTTCATTAATAATTTTTATTTTATCACCCGTGCTTTTTTTAGAATTTAACTTATAAAAGCGCATGGAAGTACTATTAAATTAAAATTATTAAAAAGTGTTTGCGTACTACTACCGTGTTCAAGCACAGATCACCCCTCCCACTTCCGACGACCATATCCTGCGTTGTTTACTCAGTATCCAGTATCGTATTTCAGTGCCGTTAACAATAGACATATTTTTTTTTAAATAATATCTATTTATTTTATTTTATTGGCAGATACATCCATTAGAGTAGTCACTTAAAACGCTAATACAAACTGCCAGTTAAACCTCCTTAACAAAGTATCAATAACAAGACATTGTAGGCGAGTATCTGTAAGGATAACAAAGAAAGCTGTGGAATATATTTATTCAAGTATTTGATCATTGTTCTTTCAATGGCTAGTGATTTGCGTTGATTATTTGATACAGAACTCACATGAATTATTCTCCTGCAGATTGCTCTATGTGAAGTTAATTTTTGATTCCACACACGATTGTGTTCGGTGGATATATTGATATATAAATTAAAGGTCTACCAGGCAAATAATGTAATTTATAAGTATATTGTTTTATAGCATAAGCATACAGTCTGTATAAAAGTTTTCTTTTCTCAATAAATTCAAGTAGGGTATAACAAATATATTTTTACTAAAACAACGTAGCATATTTATTATTTTTTCTAACTTTATCCAGGATTAATGTATTTGGTGAAACCGGCTGCGGATATCTTGGAAAAGCCTGATACCATGTTGCATCTGTCAGAGCTGTGTCACGTTGCCACCATCCAAACTAAAAGCAATATAAAAATATATTATATTATAATTTGAGTGAAGTAAGGAAGATACCTAAAGGCGGCTACTCACTTGCTTACCGCAGGGGCAATCTAGGGTGTAGGAGTGGCGATGACTCTTAATTACACCCTGTATTGTGATATATATATATATATATATATATATATATATATATATCTATATAAATATATATATAGATATATATATATATATATATGCTTGCATATCTATATATATATAATATCTATATATATATATATGCAAGCATATATATATCAATATCCTAAATTGGCCCTGTAGCACAATTGGGGCAATTTCAATCAGTTTTAGTGACTTTCACGCGGAGCACACGGGTGAGTACAAGTCACAATTGATACCAATAAATAATGGGAAATTTAGACACTGGTGATAGAAGTGTATAAAAACTTTTCAACGTGGTAGAGCTATGCTGCAGCTATATTAGTAGGATAGTTATAGTACGAATGGGTCGGCTCGACCGCGGAAGGACCACGCTCTCACAGAATACCAGCGTAAAATAGCAGCTTAACACTGCTGTGTTTCGTATGGTGAGTGTAGAGAACCGGAGACCCTTTTTACTGGAAAAGAGGCATTCCATCTTAGTCCTCACGGGTGACAACGCATCTGCATTTTGATTTGCAAAAGAGGATAAATGTAGATGTCTATGGGCCACAGCAACCACTTACCATCAGGTGGACTGTGTGGTCGTTTGTCGTATCCTATAAAAAAAGAGCGGCTTTTTCACCCAGTATCTCCTTTTTGTCTTTTTTTCCGATAGCACCACAGAAAGAACGGTACTTGAACGTGGTAGCGTTTTTAAACGTGGTAGAGCCATGCTGCAGCTTATAAGCATTATACTATGGTTGTAATTGTTAATTAATTAGTTGTTTTATCGATATTGGGTGTCTATGAACTACAGTATCCACTTACCACCAGGTGGACTGTGCTCATTCGTTATCTTTATTCTATATAAAAAAAAAAGAGCCAAGGCTATATGTACCGATTCATTGATATTTCGATAAAGTGCTATTCACAACGCGTGTGCCCAGCGAGACGTACTCTCATGCATGGCATGTGTGTAGAGACAGTTCTGATATTGCACCAATCGCTGTACACCCTAGATCGCCCCTACGGCAGGCAAGTGAGTAGCCACCTTAACCTCACTCTTAATTAAAAAATAAGCACACCTCAGTTGATGACGTAGGAGGGTATCTGTAAATATCAAATGGATTTATAGGTTTGATGACTCCCTTCCTTTTCATTTTAGCTAATCGTTGAAATGATCCATAAGCAAAACCATTTAACTCTCCAACATATCCATTATTTAATTCATTTGCATTGCTACCAGATTGCTTTGACTGAAAATATTTTAATAATTAAGCCTCGAAATAATTAAGCCGTATGAGCTTACGTAGGAACATTCAAGTACATAATGCAATGTCGATAAATAATACATCGTGAAATTGTGAAGTGAATACAAACCCTATTTCATCCCATGGAAGTCGTCAGAGGGAAACTAAACCAGAAGATGGAAAGCAGCTTATTCCTGATAACAGCTGTATAAAAAATATAAGAAATCTATGGGGGGGGGGGGGGGGTATGTTCAACAGTGGTTTTATTTTATATAATTTATTTACAAAATATTAATTTTATAGCTCAATAATGCAGTGACTAGTAGTTTGGTCGTGGTGTTGCAAGCTGCGGGTTTGATAACAGCACACAACAGTTATTTGTATAACCTAGAAATAATAACTCAAGGGCTGGTGTTTGTCCTCGTACAATTTATATTATATAAAAGAACACCACAATACAAGAGGAACTTCAAGTGTGATGGTAACAATTCAAAATTTTAACAACCTTCAACTCTCATTATGAATAATGATTACAAAAGTTTCAATCTGTATGAAGTAAGTTTTTTATAGTAATAAATTTTTTGTGGTGTATAGTGGTTAAAGGAGACGTGAAGCAACGACCAGGAAATTAGGACACGTATTGAAATGCATCTATGAACCTTTACCAAAATGAAAAACCGTGCAAGTGCAAGTCGGACTCGTGCATGAAAGGTTCCGTACATCGTAATACACATTTCTAGTAGGGGAGCCCCCTTTAATTATTAATTTATTTTTATTTTTATTGTTTGTTGATATAGCGGCTACAGAAAATTTCAAATGTCTACCTATTACGGATAATGAGATACAGCCCGCTGACAGACAGACGTACGGACGGACGGACAGTGGAGGCTCAGTAATAGGGTCATGTTGATTACCCTTCGGGTACGGAACCCTAAAAAGTACTCTGCAACCGCAAACTTAAGATCTCTTTGCGCACTCAAATACTTCGCTGTTACATTTGACCCATACTTTTATTTATACGGATGTGGCGCGTTAAGAGTTAGGAGGACCTACGAAAACGTATAGAAGCTTCTGAGATATGGGTATATATACGTATGGTCGCCATTAGCTGAACTAAAAATGTCTCGAATATGGAAGTTCTGCGAGGAGTCGACCAAAAGCGCGAATTTATGCAGACCATCAACGTGCACTAAAGCCGCATATTTAGAGCACGTATTCAGGCATGAGAGGTACCAACTCCTAAAACTCATTATGATGGGACAAGTTGCCGGTAAAGAGGCGTCGGTCGCAGAAAAAAGTCATGGTTATCTATCATCCGGGAGTGGGCGGGAATTGCGAGTGCCACCGAACTGATTCGCCTCGCGAAGAATAGAAGTAAGCTCACTAAGCTGACTGCGACAACATTCCCTAGTTGGAGAAGCACCAAAACATGAAAAAGTATAGATATTTAAAGAAAACACTTGTTTTGCAATTGTTCCGAGATGAGAAGCGCAGTTGCAATGACCGACAACAGCTTTATCTGCTGCAGGACAGCATACCTCTTACAAAATCGTCTTATGCGCAACCATTTGCGCAGCCTAAGGCGGGTGAGTGGGGCAGGGACAATCTATTTTTTGTCGAACCGTCGGGGCTCGACCAGGTCCACTTCCTGTGGGGCCGCTTCTGGAAGAAAGAGTTCATCATAAAGAGTTCCTCTTTCTCCATGAAGTCAGCCAACTGCTGGCCGCTTCGGTTCCGTTGCCTTATTCCGAATTTCCCTACTTTCAGCTCACCGTTCTCTCTTGTGCCTACTTTTGCATTGAAGTCTCCCATTAACACCGTATAGTGGGTTTCGAAGGAATGCATGGCTCTAGAGATATCCTCATACATTACTTCCACCTCCTCATTGGTGTGTACCGAGGTTGGTGCATAAATCTGTATGACCTTCACCGTTTGCTGATTCTGAGTATAAGGTACGCAACCCTCGTCGACACACTCCCAATATTTACAACGTTGTTAACGAGAGACTTGTGGACGATAAATCCAACACAACACCTCCTTGAGACAGATGGTCGCCCTCCTGGTGATAGAACAAGTTGTCGAATTCGAGGATTAGCGTGTCCTCCCCCTCTCTTCGTACCTCGGCTAATCCTATGATATTCCAGCGCAACTTATAAGTTGCGTGCGTTATAAGTTGCCAGGTCGAGTCGTCGTAGGTGGCAACCGAACCTCCACCGGAGATTCTTAGCAACCCCTGCCCCGCCGTTACCATGGTCGCCACCGTAACCAGGAATAGCGGGGCCGCCAGGGACTGGGGGCTGTTTATTAATGACATTGCTCATGGGGAGTATATTGCCATAGTTGCCACGCTTGGCAAGCGGGTTGGCAACCGCAGTCTTTTTTATTCTTGTTTTGCTGTTTCTCTCTGCTTCAGTTTCCCTCTGTTCTTTTCCCTCTTACGACACCCACGGGAAGATATGCGGTAGTGAGTATTCTTACCCGCCACAACACGGGCGAGCTTATAATATGATTGTAATTCTTAATTAATTAGTTGTATTATGGATAAATGTAGGTATCAGGTGGACTATGTACTCGTATGCCATCCTTATTCTATCAAAGAAAAAACAGGCAAGGTTATAACTTATCCTTTGATAATTCGATAAAACCGGCGCAATTCCCCATGCGTGTATTCAGCGGGATGTACACTCTCATAATGAACAGCAAGCACGTGTGTAGAGTCAATTCTGATATTACCTCGATCTATTTGCATCCTAGATTGCCCTTGCAGCAGACATGTCAGTAGCTGCTTTTAATAGGCGTATTTAAGTTTGGCGATAATTTCACTTACCAATTTTTTTTCGTACCAGTTATTTATTTTTATTTTTGTAATTCACTGTTAAATATGAGTCTATAAGATAGTATGCTAAGTATATATTATGTTTTATGGTATTATCACTGGAATTACGCATGAATATCTTGAAATATATGCCCATACTCATTACGCCGATCAAGCGGATTGATAAGTGAGACGAGTTTTGGTTTCAACAACACACTGCACCTGTCCCTGTCACTGTCGCTATTCCGCAGTTCCAGGCCAGAGAGCTACATAGCAAGAGTATGGCTTTATGTGTTTAACACAAGTTTAAAAACTATTGACTTTTAAGGCAGCTATAATTGTGTTTTAGTAAGAAAATTACGTCACACTCAAAGTATAACATGATTTATACTTCATAACTATTATAATAACGCGAGGTCTTTAAGCACATTTTAGTTTAATATATTACAGTGCGTCTGTTATTAAAAACGATTTAACTTACAATTTTTCTCAGGACATTCTTAACATCATTATCACAGGTTGGTTCTCGATAATTTTCTCTTACAATATCCTTCCAGTAATTTTGTGGGCCACACATTGTATAACCGAAAAATTCCATGACTTTTTACTTGTATTTTTGTTGATTTTTTTTTTGTAATATAATTGTAGCTGGTACGAAAATGCTTTATTACGTTAAAACAACACTAAAAGATTCTTCATAAATAAATTAAATACTCCAAGCGAAACCATTACAAAACCCACTAGCAATAATTATAACGTATTGACAGTTATGGAAACGTCTATTTACTTTATAACGTATAGGTCAGGGCCGGTCAACTTCCTAATAGCAGATTGGCACCGGGAGATGACCTTGGGGGGCTTTAAAGAAGCGAGATGGAATAATATCTATCTCCCTCGCACGTTATGTTATATTGCCATGAAAGAAATATTATTTTAAATGACACATCATTTTAATCATTTTTTTATTTAATAATTATAATACTTTATTATATAATATATTTCGTTAAACATATATTTATTACGTCTTTATTGAAGTAACAAAATGTATAAATATGAAACTGCATACTATAATAAAAAGGCAAGTTATGGCAACGGCAAATAAACAAAATTACAAATGGCAGATCCGTTGCGCTTGCCGCTTGCCGTTTCGTTCTTGTTTATTTGTGTTGCAAATTAAGTTTATCTTTCGATATAAACTTATTTCTTACATTACTAACGTTGAGTTGAACATCCCGTTCCTCCGTTTTAGTGTTTACAGTGAGAAAGAGACTCAAAAACAAGTGCTGTGCATTGTGCTAAAGAGACAGAGACTCAATTTTATCTTTCATCATGAAAGTAAACGAAAGGAAATGTTACAAGTGTGGATGTTCTCCTGCTCATGATCGTAACATCACCTTGCATCGTTTTCCTAAGCCTGGGAGAACAAATAGCGTACGGTACGTATGTTAAATAGCTTTTTGATTACTGATTAAAACAGTTTTAAAATGTTTAAATTTGAACCACTGAATTAATAAAGTAGCAGAAATAAAAATTATTATGGGCCGCATCAGCTAATAAAACCTAAGATACATATTAAGCGATTTAAAAACGTGTGCAAATAAATCTGAAAATTAGAGAAATTATGCAGAACAGCATGAGGTTTATCACATAGAAATCATAACATAATAAAAAGTTCTAGATGTATTGGTATACATAGAAATAACTTGTGGAATAATATTTATATATGTATACAATACAATCACATTGTTTGAAAGGAACAATCTTCTTGTATTGCACTCTCCTTTCAAGCACGTTTTTAGCACCTCAGTAGTATATTACTATCTAATTGTATTTTTTCAGATGGGAATTATGGGCGAAGTACTGTTTCCTCATGAATCTTGGTGGTCACCAGAATTTCAAAACAATCTTCATTCTAGGCATTTAATGTTGTGCACTAAACATTTTAAGAAATCATCATTCATTGATAATTTTGGAAAGAGGCTAGTCAAATCTGCAGTGATGTATGTAAATGAGGAATGTGATAAGGTTAGTTAATCTTTCTTTTGTTACTATCTACATTTTTTACTTTTGTGTGGCTTTTGTCATACTACAGTGAAAATATTATCTAGTTAACAAACGGTGGTAGCAGATTGAGTGGTGATTTATAAGGGTATGCGACGTAACCTATTTTTCCATTACTTCTCAACCATAAAAAAACAAAAGATATAAACTTTAAAAAAAAAGTTATCTTTTATTTTAAAAAAAAACCTTATCCAAACTAGGATTTTCTCCTCTTTGTGGAGGCAGTTTACAAACATAAATTGGATGAGGACAAACAACCCCCGGCACAATTATTTATAGGCCTTGGGTCAATTTAAAATCGGTGGCAGAAAATGTGACTGTAAATTTCGAAAACAAAAGAAAATAAAATTCTGTTTAACTTAGTTGTATAGGTATTTATGCTATGTAGATATCATTGTTAAATGCAATATCGTGGTTGGGCATGATGTCTTGCCACTATTTTTAGATTTTCAAGGAATTTACTAGTGCAGGGTAAAAAAAATTACAACTCTGTTACCATCATATATTTATTCACATTTAAACAACAAACAATTATTTTTAGAAACATTCTTTGTTATGAACATTAATTAAGTCTTTACTCTCATGTTCAACATGCAAAATTACACAATAGTTCTTCTTAAGTAGGAACAGTAATGGAAGTTAAATATACTCTGTTACTTCCTTTGTTTTAATGATCAAATTTTCACTATAAACTATGTAAATTGAATTAAATTATTAAAATATAATGATGATTATGTATCATTTTATTATTATTATATTATATAATTAATAAACAATGCATAGAGTCAGGTGTCAGCTTTTCATAAAATTCGAGACATTACTCTTATATATTTAGGGACACAAAAGTAACAAAGTTGTAGGAACAATAACATAGTTGTACTATTCGCAACAAATTTATGAACTACTATCACAAAAAACAATATTTTTGGCTATGAACTGTTTTAAGAAGTTTAGAAACTTAATTAGATTATAAAACTTAAGGGGAAAAAGCTAAAAAATCTTATTGAGATCAAATTAAACCTAAGCTGATAACTTATTTTTCAAATATCTCTAGTGGAGTATGGAACTGGTAATATACCCTTTTGCCTTTATTTACTTTTTAGGTACTGAAACAACTCTTATGAAACTCTCATATTGTTCATATGATATATCATTTTAAACTAATTTGTATGTTTTTCTAGTATTGTCAACAGAATTTAAAAAGACAATTTTTACTTCACCATCATCGTCTACTTCGCTTAATGCTTTGCCTAGATAAACACTTACTTTCAGAATTGTAAACTTTAACTAAGACCTAGCCTCCTTCTTTGATTTTACTTGGATGAATATTTTCTTTATGAATCAAGTGATTCTCATCATTTTTTTCTTTAGACAAGCAGGGTTGATCTGATGCCTTATCTTTTAATCGTAGCAAAGGATTATCATCATCTGATTCCGAACTCGAACTGTAAATTACATTGTAAAAAGATTTCCTTTTCTGTTCAATCAAATTACTTATATCCGCTAGATTAGTAGAATTACTCCTTTGATTCTTCGACTGTATCCTTTAGTAGACAATAGTTTTTTGGATTCATTCATGAGGAGAAACCAAGCTAGCAGAAACAGCTCAACTCTCGATATTTCAGCGCTCCCACTTCTTCTGTAATACACTAGTAGTACACTTGATGTACTTTCATTATACCATTGAAAGGAACAATTTCTGCTGGAATTTCATTTGTGATTCTTTCAATATCATAATCAGTTCAAGATTGACCTTAACTCTACTACTATCTTTCAGAGACTGATAGAACGAAGACGCTATCAGAATGTCTTTCCCAACAGCAACAAGCTGGTCAGCAGTCCGTTTTAGAAAGCCACCAACACCAACAGCTGCTCCTTTGCCATGTCCCGACTCGAAAAAATTCCATGTAGGCTTGGTGAGGTTGTACTTTGAAAAAAGTTTTGTCCATATTAAGCAGAAGTTTTGATTCTGGCGGTACTGAGTAGCGGGTCATCTGAAAATATGTGTATCACTTTTATCTTAGGGGATTGGTCTTGAATTGAGGAAAGTATAGGATGAAGGTGACTCCAGATTGCCGAAGGGCCGTGTGAGAGGTTACCTGATACTGTACAAAAAGACTTCACCTCTATGTTTCGATTTTCCAAGCTTCGCTTATACAATACGCCAGTATGTAAGGATACCTGGTTACGAGTATCACGAAAGTGGTGTGATTATATCACTTCATGGAACTTGCAATTGTAATTTTCACTGAAATCTACGTGTAGCGCTATTTTTTCTTCTGTCAATCCATCTATACAAGATCTGTAGTTTCTATACTGAGTTGAGTCATGTCTTTTATTAAGCGTTTCTTTTTATGATATCTCTCTAAATCCTTCTTCTTAGTTTCCGCTACCTCTTCAGGGTTTTATTTGCACTTTTCTTTATAGCGCCGCTGCTTTTCAGCAGCAGTGAGAGCCATAGCAAAGTACTATGTATTATCTAGAACAAATGATGTAATTTATTAGATAGCTATTATATAATATTGATTCCTACTAACATAGAAGCAGAGATATGGATATACAGACGCCAACGATGGCTTGTAACAGCTTAGTAATAACAACTCTTTTACCTCTCTACAACTCTGTTACCAGTAGCTAGTAACATAGTTGTGCAGTAACAGAATGGTAAATTTAACTTTAGTGACATTTTTTTTAGAAATGAAAGTTTATTATGTACAAAGAAAAGCACATTTGATATATCTTACACTAGAGCTACTTCAATAATATAAAACTATACGCAAATATCTGAATACTTACGCGAAAACACCGGTAACAGAGTACACACAGAATAAAACCACGAGCCTCACACCGCAGCCATCGGATAAATGAATCGTGTACCCGCGCCTCAACCGCCGCAAACCGTACGGATAGAACAGTAGAAATTTAAAATAATCGTACAAGCTTCAATTAATTTATTTAATATGGATGAAGTATGTTTTTAAATGTGTTATGATTGCTTTATTACACTAGCTTTCAAACATAACAATTACATTGAATTGATAAAAAGATATTATGATTTTCGCATGATGCACTGCATATGGGACAGAATTTTTTTGTATGGAAAACAACTATGTTACCAAGAATGACCACTCTGTTACTTGATAAAAGTGGTGATAAATCAATAATAAAATTCATTTTTCTTGAGAATAAGCTTAGTAATTCGCCCCATATTTGACAAATTCAATAACATTATAACAATTTAATTAATATCACCGAGAAGAAAATATTTTTGCTCAGGGACGACTTTATCTGCAACCAATTTTAAATTGACCCCCTTACAAATACTTATTCCGTGTAGCATTCGAACCTGTGACCTTTAATGCTGCAACTCAATGCTAGCCACTGCTCCGCGAGCTGTCAATGTTGTTTAAATGACATGATTATAATTTAGTTACTTACAGAATATATTTACAAATAAAAGAAATTGTTAAAATAGTGTCTTAAAAATAGGATGGTGGTGGTAATGGTGTTAAAGCAACATTCATTAAAAAAAACAAG